AAACTGCCTGCGATTGTTCTAATATGTACATATATTAGAGAATTGCCAGTGGTTGCAGCTCTATAAAGCAAAAGAACTGTGACCTAACACTGCCAAAATTTTTAGCTGCTTGACTTAGCCAAAGGAAAAATATCATCATCAAACTCTGAGCATCTCCCAGGCTTTGGAAGAACTCCAGAGTGTCAGATAATCCTGGTGCTGATGTCAAAGCTCTTTCCACAGTTCTGGTGGTATAGCTGCCAGCTGTCTAAGGAAAAGGTTTATAAACTATTAGATGATTATCACTAAAATGGAGTGTTAATTCCTTATTCATGTCCCAGTCTACTAAGTTAATAATGTGCAAGTCTTGGTTTCTAGAATGCTGTCTTTGTTGGTCAGATTTCAATAGCAGACTCAAGCAGACTAACACTGTTTGATGTCTGCTGATGCCACTGATACATGAAAACAGCTCCTAGAACTGATGTGTATTAATAAAGCATACATTTGAATTGAATTATCTTCTGTGTTGCATATTCCTTCATCTCTCCTGTAGGACAATGTTTCCAAAACTGTTCAGTATCACATCTCTTTTTTGATCTTTGAGAAGCAGTCATGCCTCCCTGCCTCTTTTTTTATCATCATCCAGCCCTTTAAACAAAACATTCAGTTCAAATGAATTTTTTTACACTTGGTAAAAATAATTGTAAATTAGAAATGTGCACAAGTGCATTAACACGTGGACAAGTAGTTGCACATTTGTCACGATAAGTTGATAGAAGTGTAATTTCTTTAAGAAACAGCTGAGGTTGGAACCAAATTTAATATGAATGATACATACATAAAACGTGGCTACAAAACGGCATATGCTATTTTAGGCTGCGTTGACTATATAGTAAACAGGCTGTATAGTCTCCAAATCTTAAGAGGTGCTAATTCCCCTCTATTTGGCACTAGTTAGGCCTCATCTTGAGTACTGTGGCTAGTTCTGGACACCACATTTCAAGAAGGATGCCAACAAATTGGAGCAGGTTCAGAGGAGGGCAATAAGGATGATCAGGGGGCTGGAAACCAAACCTTATGAGGAAAGGCTGAAAGATATGGTCATGTATAGCCTTGGGAAAAGAAGACTGAGAATAAATATGATAGCATCTTTCAAATACTTGAAAGGCTGTCATACAGAGGAGGGGCACGGTCTGTTCTCAATCATCTCAGAGTGCAACAATGGGCTTAAGTTACAGGAAGCCAGATTTCAGTTGAATATTAGAAAAAACTTCCTGTTTGAGCAGTACGGCAATGGGATCATTTACCTTGAGAGGTGGTGAGTGCTCCAGCACTGGAGGCATTCAAGAGAAATTTAGACAACCACCGGACAGATATCTTTTGATTTGTGTTCCTGGACTGAGCAGGGGGTTGGACTCGATGGTCTTATAGGTCCCTTCCAGCTTCATTATTTAAGTACAGTGGTGCCCCGCTTAACAGGCGCCCCATTTAACGACGAAATCGCATAGCGATGAAGATTTTGCGATTGCAAAAGCGATCGCACTGCGATGTTTTAAATGGGGAAAAATTGCTTTGCGATGATCAGTACCTTGTTTTGCTTACCGATCATTGCAAAGCGATGATTTTTTAACAGCTGATCGGTGGTTCCAAAATGGTAACCGGGTTAAAAAAATGGCCACCCGCTGTTTTCTGGGACGGATTCCTCGCTTACCGGGCAGTGAAAATGGCCACCGTATGGAGGATTTTCGCTTAAAGGTGAGTCTGAAGCCCACAGGAACGCATTGAAGGGGTTTTAATTCATTCCTATGGGCTTTTTAATATCGCATAGCGACGAAATCGCTTTGCAGCGATTTTTGCTGCACCGATTATCATCGCTATGCAAGGCACCACTGTATTTCAATCTCACATTCCCCTTGGAATTTCCTTATGTCTTTCCCTGAGGGGACATGCCCCCAGTCTGGCAAACTAGTACACTAGAAGAATGAGTTAAATTAGACATAATGGTAAAACCTCATCTGTTTAAATCTGAGCCTGCCCTAATTACATATAAAGAAAGCAGTGGATGTATGAATTAAAGAGCAAAAAGAATGCAGGGGAGAAAGAATGCATATAGGTATGAAATTAACTTGTCAGTGTTAAACATTAGAAAGAAGGGATTTAATCTGTACTGTTAACATTTATGCATAAAAATGTTTAATTAATTGAATTAGTTTATTAATTCATTCTTTAAGTCATTAGTATAAAAATAAACAGGTTTTATAGAGAATACAGATTGTCTCCATTTATCATTAGCTCCTTCAAAAGTACTTTTTTCCACTTTAGAATTAGCTTTCCCCTGAATGGAAACAAAAAATTCATCATACAACTGGTTAGGTGAGGATGGTAGTTAATTTAACATGTGTTAAGACCATCAGCTCAGGAAAGCCTGTGTGTTCTAAAACTCAGGATCTTATTTCTTCATTGGCAGAGAAAGACTGCTGCACACTTTCACGTCTATAGGGCAAATAATTTTGTTCACAACTTTTCACGTCTTCAGCAGAACAGTTTAGAAGTTTTAGCTGAAAGTAGGATTTTAACAAAATATTCTTGGTGCTCTTCACTGTACCATCCCACAGTGCATACAGGTCACAGCAACCAATTCCTATAATCATGATCACCCAAATGTTACATGGGACATTAACTGAACTGAACATTACTGGCTTCCAAACCGCAATGTATATTTTAGTCTGTATTAAAGTGTGCATTTGTGTGGAGGTGCCATTCCCAAGGTTGCTAAGCTATTGGCTTAATCTACAGTAGAGGGCAAACCTCCTGGATGATGTCATAGCTGCTTCTGAGGGGCATGACTGCCCACCATTCTTCTTCCTTCTCATAGGTGCTATAGAGCTTGCTTAAAGAGCCTTTCCTTAGGCCACTTATAATGCCCTGATGTAACCATTGTCCTGTCTGAACTCTGTAACCTATCTGTATTCTGTCCACTATCTGTGAGCTTGTAAGGTTAATAAAATCACAGTCCTCCTGGGGGCAGGGCAGAATGCATTGGGAACCCATTCTGTGTTATTCTGCCTCTTCTACTAGTCACCCACCAGGAGCACTGCTGGCAGATATCCCTGTGTGTGTGGCTGACTTCTTTAACTTCTAAGAGACTATTTGCTATCCTAATCATCTGGTGATCATCACAAAGCCCATCAGCCTTCTCATTTTGTGACTCCAACACATTTGGACCAAAACCATCAAACAGAGGATGTGATGATTTGCATGGCCCCTTCCCTAAATATTTTTGTAGACACTGAAGTAGCTGGTTTATGTAGAGGAAAGTGTTGGGGGGGGGGTGCTGTGTCCTCTGGAGAGGAGTCTATAATTTTAACTTTTCCAATCCTTTTGAGAGACCTGAGAACGTCTGTACTTTCAGATAAACTTTCTCCAGTGTTCTGCTAAGGAGTTTTATTTGAAAGTGGTCCAAGAATCTTTGATTCCTTGAAAATCAAGGCTCCCAATTGTGTTGTCCCTGCTGTAAAGTAATATTTCCTAGAAGCCATGCCCATTGTCTTAAGTTAGCTAGGGCTTTTAGGGTTGTAGCCCAACAAAAAACCTCACATCTGAAATACAAAGGTGGGGAATCAGTTGTGTATAGCTAATTCTACTGTGGGGATGATAATTGTGGACTGTATAGTAGTGATGTTAATGGTAAGTATGAAAAAAAAGGCAAGGGCAAAAAAAGTATGTTAGAACTCTTCAAAAATTATATTTTTACACACACACCTTTATTCCACAGGGAAACTTATCAAAACAATAAACATGACTTATTTGCTATCTGTTTATCTTTATAATAATCCAGTAATGAAGGAAACGCTGGGGAAAGAATGGTATCTACCTGTTATATTTGATGTGTGTACAATCTATACTAAAAGATTAGCTGGAGTCTCTAAATAGTAGTAGTACAGGAAACACGGTCTTCATTTCAAACTGTTTTTATTTGTTCTCAGTAATGTCAGCACATTGGCAGGTATGATAACATCAGCATGTGGGTTATGATCCTGTTTGTTTGGTGTGCAAAGCCCATGCACATTGAGCAGAATATACAGTAATTACCACCTCTCTATTGTTCCTTTCAGCTCATTAAAATGACAGCCTGAAGAAGAAGTACCGTAACTGTTCTATCTGAGTAGTGTCTCCATGCGAGCCAGAATCCAGCTTCTTGCTCACATGGAGAAACTTTTCAGACAGAGCAGCCCTTCTATTCAGACTTTGCTTTTGTATATTGAATACGAAGTTTCAACACGAAGAGCTAGCATGCTCCAGTTAACATGTGTGGGCTCCATTCACTTAGATAATAAGTCAATATGACTAAAATAATCTGTGATTCGGCAGTGTCACCTGAAGAGAGAAAAAGTAAATGAAGACAACTGTAACAAAATGTTGCCATAGTAGCAACAAGACAGGAGAACAGCTGTAGAAAAGATAGCTATAGAAAAGATAGGACTAAACATTTTTACAGGTTACCATTCCCAAAAGTACTTCTTTCATTTTGAAATAGGAAGAAAAGCAGGCAGCTCCTGTTCTCAGCTTCATAACCCAGTTATACAGAGAGGCAGCTTGCCAGCCTGTAGTGAGTCATGACTAGAGCCTGCAGGTGGGAACTGCTGAGAAGTATAGGGGTGAGGTACGCCTTAGACCACAAGCTGTCACTGCTTCCATGCCTCATTTTTTCATGGTGTATGAGAACAGGCTGAAAATGTATTGATTCTCTCAAATACTTACAATTGATTCACAAATATTTTAATAATTGGGTTTTAGAATTTTGTTCTTAGAGGTATTTTACCTTTTAATTATTTTTGCCTCTGATTGGGTGTTTTCTAAATGGAAAGGTGTATAATACTTGATTTAAAAGGCTAAATAAAACTGATTGTCCATTTTAATTTTAAAATGTGCGTTTCAAAATGTTTAGGAGAGCTCTCCTCCTTTCCAAGCTATGTCTGACTGGTGCATGTTTTGCCTTTCCCTTTTTTTTCAAAATAAAGGTATCAAAATATTCAGAGGACTATTGCTACAGAGAGGACTGAGGAGGACACTGTCATCAGCAATAGGATAGAGAGGCTCCTCCCTGGAGGAGGCAGTGATTCTGAGGCAGATCCTTCACAGCCAAATTCAGGTAAAACACTGGTCTCTCTGATAACTCATTTCTTCTGAGATCTAAGTTCCTATTCAGTCATACTGTAAAAGTGTGTGATCCACATGCAGTGCATGAATGTGCTAGCCCTACCCGCTCTTGTCATTTTCAGTAGTCTGAAGACTATTGTATCTTGGTTACCTGTGCAGATGAAGCAAAACCCTAGGGGAGGGGGATGGAAAATCAGGATTCTGTCTCATGTTGAGAAACTACCAAGGAGCCTCCCTCATTTCAGACAGTCACTTTCAAGTGCAGAAAGTGACGGTGGAGGGGTGGGATAGAGCACTCCTCTGATAGCTTGTGGATTACACACCAATATGGCATGCATGACCAGGGGTCTAGGCTCCAGTGTCATGGGGGCTCCACCTGTAGTCCAAAGTATTCCAGCCCAAACAGTTCATTAGCCCTGTAAGACTTCAGCCAATTACCACATGCCACCATGGTAAGAAATTTTCTACCTATGAATATCCCACAGCCTATCCACACTGTTGCAAAATAAATCCTCTGAGGAAGAAAGTATATGTGTATATGTTGCTATTACCCTTTCCCCCTGAAAATAAGACCTAGCCTGAAAATAAGCCCTAGTATGATTTTTAAGGATGCTCGTAATATAAGACTTACCCCAAAAATAAACCACATTAAGTGAAACCCTGCCCTTCACCATTGTGCAGCATTGTGCAGCAACCAGAAGAAATGATATGACTGATGATATGACACACACACACACTTTATATTCCCCCCCCACATCCCTTTAGTTCTTTTCTGTATAGTCCCTTAACTTTGCAACTATGTTATGAGAAGTATAGCATTTTCCATAAATCCAGATTGCCAAAGTTTTTTTAAAATGTGTTTTTGCTTGGATGGTTGGTTGATTTTTTTTTATTTCACAAGAAAGTTGATTCACTACAGCTGTGAAAAGTGCAAAATATTTCTGAGTCAAAAATAAACAACACCAGATAGATAGCTTTGGCATATACGAACATATGCTTAATATTGTTTGGACTGTGAAAAGTCACCAGTGGCATGATACCACCCCAATACCTGCCTCATATCTACATCACTTTATGAAACTTCCTTTCCTGTTTTTTACGCTTTTTTGGGTAATTTGGGTACATGCAATGGGCTGTGAAATCATTGGTCTGTGTGTAATGACTGGTAGCAGCAAGGCTGTGCTCCAGAAACAATCTGATACAATTCTGTAAGCTTTATTTTGAGTTTATTTTACTTATATTACATCTTTCTGAAATCTCTGCATTCCACACATTGGTGGTGTTTTGTTGCTGCTGCTGCTGCTGCTTCTGTTCTTGTTATGTACCATCAAGTAAAAATTGACTTATAGTGACTCTAATGGGGTTTTCAAGGTAAGTGAAGCATTTTAGTTTCACCAGTTTTACTCTCCAAGTAAACTTCCCTGGCACAATCAGGGAATCAAACCCATGTCTCCTGAGTCCTAGTCCAACTCTCCCCACTAAACCACACTGGGTATTCCCCCTTACAACATGGGAACAGGATATTACACTCTTGATATTGAAAAGAGATGTGTAGATTTAATGAACAAAGACTAAATTGCAGTGAGGGCCCATTTAGCACCCTTCAGAAGGAACTGTATTTAAAAATATTCTCTGGGATTTTAAAAAACTATTCTCTGGGAGTCTAAAAAACTACTGACTAGTTCAGAAGGAAAATTAACACTCCTTGATGTAGTTCAATGTGTAAGGATATGAACAAATCTTTTAGCAACTTACAATGATCCCTTAAATATATAAATGAATTTTATTGTTGTTGCTTTCTTTCATAACAGTAGGTTTGTGCCTACATATCTGATTTGTGAGTACACTAAAATTAGCTTGGGGGAGAGTATTCCTTTTTTTAAAAAAATAATCTTTCCATGGTTTGAATTATGTGTCAGTTTTTCTGAAAGAACTAGCTGCAGTTCTCTGCATCTTGAAAATTCAAGTTGGAATCCTATAGTAAAATAAAAAATCATAGATTTAAGATGTTGCTTGGGCTGTAATTCCCATGCTCCCGGTGTTACTATTTAATCTTTAAATAAGGTGGCTTACATCTGGAGCTGATTAACAATGAGTCACTGAAGACCTTAGAAACGTTACCAGAGATGGGAACAAACTGTAGTTTGGCACTCGAGCATGATTTGGCAGTTCGGCCACACAGCTATTCCATGGGCACCCTGGCTTCCCAACCCTGCTTCCTTAGGCAAATACCCTCTCAGAGGCAGTGATGCAGCTTCTGAGCCGCACCTCCTCCAGGCACTGCCTCTCAGTGGGCACCCGCCAGAGTAGGCAGGGCTGGGAAGCTACATTGATGCCTCTGAGTGGGCACCTACCAGTGGAAGCAGGGTTGAGAAACCAGGGTGGCCACAGAAGTGCTGTATTGATGTCAGAGATTACACTCGCAATTTAAATGGTGTTTATTTAAACTGTTGCATTTCCAAGACACTCACAAACCACTATGTTTTCATAATGAACTAAAAACTCTGTGTCATGCCCAAGAATACAATATTTTGAGTTTCTGATTTTTGTTATGTAACCACCTACGCAGCGGTCTTTCTTTTTTTGGTTAATATTTCTAAGCTACATAGTGCTAGAATGCTGTTGGTTTCTTTAAAAAAATGTAATTGTCCTATTGCTGTTTTCGATGACTAAATGATACAACACTCTAGTAGACTGGAAAATGTTTTAAAAGTTTGGAATGCAGGACACAGCAATTGGATACGATACCATTGTAATTGGCATTCAGACAGGTGACAATTCAGTAAAAACCTATGCCAGTGGAGACATTCGCATATGTCAAACCACTTGAAATTGAATCACTGTGACATCTGAGTTAATGTAATCAACTCTATGCTGGAAGAGTAAAATACATTGCTTCCACTCAAAAATACATGATTCCCTCCCAAAACAATCTGTGTTTCCATGTGTGTCATGTATTCAATTTTTAAAAAATTAATTTAAAACACTCAAAACCTGATTCAAATATAGGTTGGTTGGTTTTTTAACTAATAACTGCACACTAGGACTATCAAAGAAAAGAGGAATTGGAACAAAATATGTTGTAGTGCAAGTATTCCTTTGCTGTGTTTTACATAGACATCATTTTACTTTCAGATATTAGAAGAGAAGTACCAGTTTCACCTGTGAATTCTCAAAAAATCACTTTGTTGCTGCAATCTCCAGCTGTAAAGTTCATCACCAACCCAGAGTTTTTCACAGTGCTGCATGCAAACTATGTAAGTGCTCATGTCTCAGCTGCCCTGCAGGCTGGTGATCAACTTAGGTAGCATCAGGGTGGTAATTCTGTTCTTACTCAAAGACAATCGACAACTTCATTGTAGTGATCATTTATAAGAACACTTATTTGTTGGTTGGTTGGTTGGTTGTACTAAGAATTGGTGCATTTCCTTTTGTTCTGAATCAGGGCCATCTGACTCATTCCACCTCCTCTTCTCCCCTGGTTAGGTCTGGGAAGACATTGGGCTGGGGTTGTTTTTTGAAAAAATGAGATGAACATGAGAAGGTTCTAGTTATACATTCTTTAATTCTAGACTTATATAGACATTCCAGGTAGAAAAAAAAATGACTGTCAAAATGATAAATTCAACCTCACCTGAATGATCAAACAGGGGAAACTCGGCTTCACAACCTCCATGCCACCTGGCTGAGTAATCCTCTTGACTGAGGGGTATTGGCTGATTTGAGAATGTAGAACATGAAACTATGCCCATTTTCAGAACATACTGTATGTCTACTCCTCCAACAAATTTAATCACTCCCATTCTAGATTATGTATTTATCATTTCCAGGCAATTTCAGAAGATGTGACATAATGATATGTGTTTGGAAATTCCTATCATCTGTCTTATTAGACCTGGATCTATCTTACTCTCCTTGCATAAATTTTTGGACAACAAAGATTTATTAATTACATCTTTTTAACATGAAGCAAAGCAGAGAGGACTGGTACATCCACTGGTGGAAAAAGTACAAATGGGAGACTGAGTCTCAAGATGTATAGCAATGTTGGCAATGCAGACTTTATTCTTATCTAAAAAGCTCAGGTTCCACGTGTTTTGGCAGTGGCCTTCAGGAGCTAAGCATAAAATAAAAATATATAATAACTTAGAAACAGCTGGCTTGGGATAGTCTTTTTACAGTTAACAATATAAAATATTAATCAATAGCAACATAATAAGATCTGTAAACTTCAATATAGCTTAATGGCAGCATATAAGATACATATCAAGCTTTTAGAACTTTTGCTTCTTGTTTGGTCTATCCCAACTTCAACTTCAATCCAAAATACCAATACAGAAAGGACTGTATCTATTTTCAGCTGGCAGATGAGTCAAGGACAGTGTGAGGCACTGGGGGTTCTGCAATAGTAAGGACAAGAAATTTATTTCTTCATTTAGTCCAAAGGGGCTAGAGTGTTCAACCTTAATATCTAGTCAATTCTCCTTCTCAGTAAGGACCTCTCAACAGAAACCATATCCACAACCCAGAATATTAAATATCTTATTGTATGGTTAAATTCTGTGAAGTGGTTGACAGTCTTCTATTTCTTTAATTACTCAGATGTTCTCCTATCCTTGTCTTAAGAAGTCCAGAGGTCTTCCCTATACAGTATAGAGTTTGTTGCAAGGAGAGCTTATGGCCTAGATCACCCCCTTAGTATTGCAGTTGGTAAATTCGGTAACAGCCTATTCTCCATATTATTTTACCCAGGCTTCGTGCCCTGGAAAGGACACTCCAGCTTCGCATACAGCGTCGAAACGCTAGACGCTGTTCTAAGTCCTCCATACAGAGCACCTTATCATAGTCTCTCGAGACTGAAGGATGCCTATGCTACATGATACCTTGCCATTCTATGGGTTTTTAAGTTCCGTCATATGACATGTATATAGGTGTGTAGGAGTATATAAGAATGATTTGAGATATGTTATCTGCATAATAGAACATTCCAACCGATCATATTCTGTCTAATACTAGCCAATGGGTGTTTGAAGGGGTTCATTGCCAGACAGAAGAAGAAGTGACAGTTAGGATGTAGCTTATTCTGCTTTTATTGTCGAAGGCTTTCACAGCCAGGACCCAGTGGTTGTTGTGGGTTTTCTGGGCTGTTTGGCATGGCCAAACAGCCTGAAAAGCCCACAACAACCATCTTATTCTGCTTATTCTGCTTGTTCCGTTTGTCTGTTAGCATGAGATTTTTTGGTTGAGAAGTTTCCCCCCCCCTCCCAGTTATGCTGCCTACTATTAATATGTTCCAAAAGGAAGCTATTATGAAACTGTTATAAGTCCGTCAAGGACAAATCTATACCAAGTAAAAATATTTAAGTACTGATCATTTATTTTTCAACATGTTATTGAGGCAACATTCTTAAAGTTTTATCATGACTAAATGAATATTTAGTGGCATCTGTGTAATGGAATCAGCTCTCAGAAGAGCTACGCCTGGTCCCCCTTTCTGTATTCATTTAGTTAAAAAATCTACTATTCAGATGGGCCTTTCACATTGACCCCAGTTGAATGCCTCACCCTCAGTCTTGCCTCTCTTTGAAAACTGGTTGCACAATTGTTTAAGTTTTTAGGCCATATTTTTATTATTTATGTTATATTTACTTCTGTGTAGTTTGTTTTAACTATCTGTCAACTGCTCAGAATAGTGTTTCAGCACTAATGGGGCAGTATATAATCAAAGTAATAAATAAATAAATAAATTTCAAGTGGTAGCATCTACAAGTTCATATATGTATACCAAAGGAGAAGCTATTCATGATGTGTGGCTTTTTATTTTCATGCTTAACCCACTGTATGTGTAAATTATCAGAAACTTCACATTCTTGAAGAGAGGCATTCCTCACTGCCTTTGCTCATTCTGCTTGTCCTGTCCTTCACTGGCTGTTTTGACAAGCCAGGATAGGAAAGGGTCCAGCATGTACCAGTAAGTGGAGGCTGTCACCTCTTCAAAGATCCTGTCTACATCCTAAGGCTGCACAAGCTGAAACATAGACATTATTACTGGGCAAAGAGGAGCCAAAGTTACCTCCATTGGGACTGCTTCAAACACAACATCCAAGTTGAAAGGGATTCAAGCAATGTTTTCTACAAAGTGCCTTGCAAATAATATCCTGTAGGCTTTTCAATGATCCGTATTTTTCAGCTGGAGGCCAATCCATTATAGGCCCTTGACCACTCAAAATAAAACCAGTAGCTTTTCATATTTGCAACTTGTATACTTCTAATTTCTCTGAGCTGGGACATTCGTAACACACAGTGGCTGTAAAACAATTAATTCTCAATAATAACCCACCAATCCCAAACTGATGTATTTTATCACTTTCTCCACAAAAGGAGAATTAAAGTTCTAGAGGGTATATATTGTTATAGATGAGAATTGTGGCACTTAGAAATACAAATCTCCCATAGGGAGGGGGCAAGAATAAAAAGAAGGAAAATTTTACTCTGGGGGGGGTTGTGAGTCATGGCAGAAATGAACTTGAAGACGCACATGCAGCCCATGACTTAATTATTCCCATCCTGCCCTAGATAAGCTGATTATAATATGCACCAAAATAATGTGCAATGTGCTGGGATGAGCAATCAGAATTTTCATTGTAGACCTGTTGGTATGGAGAGATTTCTCAGGAAGTCAGATGTCTGAAAACCAGACCGTTAGAGGATCAAGAAAGTGTATATAAATTTTCATCCCTACTGATCTGACAAATACGTAATTCTTGCTTATAATTTGCTAAATAGAAACTGCACAGATTTCTGGGAGAAAAGTGAATGTAAGCTTTCTCAGAAGAGGTCTTTATAATGCCTCATAGAGGTTGTTCCCTAGGATCTGATGACTTTGCAGCTAAGGGATTTGAAATCTATCCAGAAAAGAAAAATAAATCGTAAGATTCACCCGTATATAACTTTCTAACCCTTGTGTGGCTTTTAACTTGTACTAGTAAGTCTTGCATCAAAGGGAGTGTCAAATTAAGTTGAACAGAGCAACACTTTTTCTTTTATAACAATGATTGTGGATTCTGCCAAAGGAATCAAAATGACTTGTTGGAACATCTGTTAAAGCAGTCATACAAATTCCCCTTATATAAAAATAATATAGCACATAAATTTGGGCTTAATGTGGTTAATATTTTAACTGCAAACTCCAATTAAAATTTAAAAGCATTAGTTATGGCCATAAATGTGAGTTGGAAAATATTATCCACCAGCTGGAGCTGAAATGAAAAACAGATCTCTTATTTCCTTGAAGGCTTTAAAAAAACTGTGAAATTCTTGGTCTGTTTAAAGGTCACAGAGGGCTATTAAAACGGCCACTTCAGTTGGTAGTGGAAGAACTGAGCTTGTACGAGTACCATGCAAGCATTGACAACCCCATGCTTCTACAAGTCTAAGCTAAATGCAGAATGGTCGTAACACCCTTCCCACATATTTCCAGAATATAGTATTATAGGTTGTGTGTGATCATAAATATACTGCCAGTTGCAAGTACATTTTATAACTGCTTTGAGACTTTAGGGCACTGTGGGAGCATCTTTTGTAGGTCTGTATCCTGTGTCAACTCAATGATATTTATAAATACCACACTGATACCAGAGGCCATTTACAGATGCTGTCCCCTTGCTTTGGGACCCTGTGTAGAGCACACAATGAAAAAACACTGTGCAGTTCAGTAACTAGTGGTGGCTGGAGGGTGTTTAGTTTGCCAGATTCTGAAGCCACAAGGTTGAAATAAAAGAATTTTCAGTGTAACCCTTGAAGCACTAGTAAATGGTTTACATTTGAGAAAATAAGGCAAACATGCTTTGAAGTACTATCAGAAATTCAGAGATCTTCTTTTCATGAGCAGCAATGATCTCTAGGAAATGCAAAAGAAATCAGTAACGCAAACCTCTAAGTAATAACCATTGTAGAATGTAGCTTGTGTTTCGTGTCCTTTGTTATCTATAGATGTGACTGTCAAGATCTTTACATGCTCACTGAAGCTTAGATTGATATTAGACATGCAATCTAATTAAAATACTTCCTGCAAGACATTTATAACAGCTTCTTCTGCCCCCTTCAATAGATGTTCAGCTATTACAGTGACCTCTGCTGCCTTCATAATATAATGGCTGAAATCCTGTTGCTTAGTATTGTAAATCACGGTAGCATAGGCTTATTGACTCAGTGGAGATTTTGTGAGTCAATGTCTTTGTATGTTCCATTGATTCAGATCAGCCTGCTCTGGTTGCAACTTACTACGCTGAGCAATGGGATTATTGCTCAGCCATTTTGGCCACACTTAGATTTTCCATAGAACTAAGGAAGCTAGCACTTCATGAGAAAAAAGTATCTGGTTAGCTTTACCTCATTGTTGTGACCCATGGTGTAGTATTTTGCATTTTTCCTCTAAAGAGACCATGGCTAGTGCAGAAATCTGGATGACTGGCACTGTTAGAAGCAATTAGGAGGGGAGGTTTAGAAAGGGTTAAACCCTCTGGTATCATAGCTCTGATCTTTACTCCCCTTCCCCCTGCAGTTGCTTTTGTTGTTACACCTTTACTGCCACATCCCTTTGGGTCTGCAACTAAATTGAAAGTACCCTCTCTGTAAACTGTTGGCCAGATCCAGTTCTAGCAGCTCACAGCTCTAGTAGATTCGTATTGCTTGCTTTCCTATTTCATACAAGAAGATTCTTTTGTATGTACCACCCAGACACCACTCAGACACCTTCTGTAAAATATAAGGTTGACTTATTATGTAAGCTTCATGTTTCCTTTCTGCTCTTTATATCCAGAGTGCCTATCGAGTTTTCACCAACAGCACCTGTTTGAAGCATATGATTCTGAAGATCCGAAGAGACGCTCGGAATTTTGAGCGATATCAGCACAACAGGGACCTGGTAAATTTCATCAACATGTTTGCTGACACACGGCTAGAACTTCCACGAGGCTGGGAGATCAAGACTGACCAGCAAGGCAAGGTATAGGAACTAATCAGGGTAGGGGAACTTTGATGGATTTGGGGGGCATTTTTCTGCCACCAGGAATCTCCTGGGACTGTATAGACCTAAACAATAACCAACACTTGCAAAAAAATTAAATTGGAAGTGGCTGAAAGTCTACCTGCAGTTTTGAAAAAAATGTGGTTTTTTGGAGGATTCCTTTTTACTTTTTTAAATGTGAATCAGCATTCCTGAAGTTTTCTGGGAAGTGGGATTCACTTTTTTTGCCAAATAAAGTGGAAACAAAGAGAGAGTTGAGGATGCATGCTGTTCCAGGGCCACACTTTGCCCATCCCAAGAACAAGTGAAAGCAATACTGAGTTCCATGTAAACATACACTATTTGTTGCATATTAAGTAGGGAGTGGATTAAAATGTATCAGATTTAAAAGCTTACTTTATCCTAAGCTGGCTTCTTCTGGTGTAGCATTTTATTTATGTTAAGGTATTATCCTCATTATTTTTGCTGCACCTCAGTATATGAGCAGGATTGGGAAAGTATGGCACCCCTGAAGTTGTTGGACTATACCTTCTCACCATTGTCTCTGTTGTCTCAAGGTACTGGAAACTGCAGCCCAACAACATCATGAAGGCCATATGTTCCTCACCCTAATCTACAAGCAAGCAAGCAGCTAACAAGTTTAATGAAAGCAGATTAATTTGCATCACATTATCTGACTGAAGAGTCAGACTAGAGTTAGCAGCTTTATAGGATCCTCTAAAATTATTTTAGCCATGTTCTTTACTCTTGTAGCTTTTTCATTATTTCAGTTTCTTTTCATCTTTTTATTGTTACTATTATTATTTCAGTCCTTCTTTGTTGACCACAACAGCCGTGCTACCACTTTCATTGATCCAAGGATCCCACTTCAGAATGGCCGCCTACCCAATCATCTGACTCACAGACAGCATCTTCAGCGACTCCGAAGTTACAGTGCTGGAGAGGTACATTTTGCTATTCTACCTAATTAATTAGACTTGCAGAATAAAGGTGCACATCCACAACAAAGGGTTTTCTTCATATCCACTTTACATGTTTTATAAATTAGAATAAGTGAGACCAACATTGTGACGGATGCAGTGCTGTAGTATGGTATGATATGACATAGCATATCATACCAGTCAAAATCCTGTGGATTAGTTATGTCTGAAACAAAACAGTATAATTTGCAATGTGTTCTCACAGGCAATTAACAAATTCCCTGCTATCTGCATTTGAGTGAGAAAATCTAAGCAGGGATTCCTTAACTGCCCAAGAGAACACACTGCTGTTTAAGCTATTTGCCTAACTGAACAGCAGAATTGTGGCCAATGTATTATATTATATTAGGCATACAGGGCCTGAAATGTGGGAGGTAAGATTATGATGAAGCATTGAGATATGGTCCCTTGCCTATAAATGGAATCCTCATTTGTCAGTTCTCATTAGCACCTTGGCAAGCATGGATTGATTGATGAATTTAAAATGTATATGTCACTTTTCTGCTCACAAGGCAGTGTATAGAAGATGGAGCAAAATCAGATTTCAAATATTTTAAATAAACAAATTAGAAGCATTCTTTAAAAGTATATATATATCAAGAAAAACAAAAGAAAAAGAAAGAATAAAGACAAAAAACATTGTGGCACCTTAAAGACTAACTGCTATATTTTAATGTGAACTTTTGTGGATAAGTCCACTTCTTCAAACATAAGAGTGGGTCTACATGGTAAATATCTATACATTTATATGACTTATAGTGACCCCAACAGGCCTTTCAAGGTAAGTGAGACATTTAAGAGTGGTTTTACCAGTTCCACTCCCCCAGTGAGTTTGCATGGCTGAACGGGGATTCAGACCCTGTTCTTCAAAGTCCTAGTTCATCACTCTATCCACTACATCAGGGTTCCCAACCCCCAGTCTGCAGCCCAGTGCCAGACATGGATCTCTACCCCCCCGCCCACCTTCTCCCCTTCCAAAACACACACACACACACACAGACACACACCGAATCGCCTGGCTATCCATTCCCTGGCTTGAACCCCATTGCCGCCTTCTCCCCTTCCAAAACACACACACACACACCAATCGCCTGGCTTTCCGTGCCCTTCCGTGCCGTCCTGGTTGCCTGCCTGGAGGCGTCAGGCAGGGTGCTGGGGAAGTTTGTGGTTTTGCCCAACTCTCCACAGAGACTGCTCCACAGAATGAGGGAGCAGAACCCCCTGTCCTTGCCCTTGCTTTTGTTGCAGGGCAACACCCACACCCAGTCCTTATGGAGCACCCCAGGAGCGGCAGTGGTGGCGTCAATAACAGCCATATCATTCTGGCCAGCAGGCAAGAAGGAGTGACTGGCTGCTGCAAGTGCAACGGCCAGGGGCGGTGGGGAGGCAGGCAGATGCCCCATCTTGCGCCAGTGCTCTCTGTGGGCCATCTACATGCTCAACGACACCCCCAAAGGTGGCGCTGTGGTGCGGAGCCCTGAAGCCGGGGCCCTGCTGTGCCTGGTGTGTGCTTGTGGGACCAAAGGAGCCCAGCTCGCCGCCACCAACTTTGACGAGTTGGACTTTGGTTAGACAGCTGTGCTGGATGCCTTTTATGATGCCAGTGAGAAGCGGTCTTGTCAGGACGGAGGGTGCAAACAAGGGCCCAAGCCGCTTTCACTCCCCGAGTCCTGTTGAGCCGCCAGACATTTTGTTGCTTATTTGGAGGGGACTGCTTGAAATGGAGAAGTGGCATTTTATATGTGCACATGAGCCCATTTAATTAGCTGGTTTTCCCTCCTAATCTTCTACCCCTGCTTCTCTTTCTTTATGCAAAACAAGACCTTTCTAGGGTCTAAACACGACTAAACGACTAAACAACAACAACAAAGATAGGTGATGTAGCCCTCCAGGTAGTGTTGGAGTGCAGTTCCTATCAGTCATAACTAGTTGCCTGGTCAACAGACAAGGGCTGATGGGACTTGTAGCCCATCAGGATCTGCAGTCAGTCAGTGAAAAGCAGGCATAGCACAGCTGTTTAGGTCTCTGGTTGCGAAGCCAGAAGTTGAGAGTTTGATTGCTCATTGTGCCTTCTTGACAAGAGCTGGACTCTATGATCCATAAGGTCCCTTCCTGCTCTGCAGTTCAAAGATGCCGATGATTAAATGTAAGTACTTGTGATTTACTTAAATGATCAGTGAGATCATAGCCATACAATAAAAGTCAGAACAGAGATGGCCCAGAGCAGAGTGTCTTCCTTAGGGTGAAGAATGCAAATATGCAACCAAAACTTAAAATGAACAGTGAGAATGAACATTCCACAGTGCTATGTATTCTTGGTTCTACTGGGAGGAAAGGAAGCAGGGACTTCTAATCCAGGCAGCTGTTTAAAAAGTGGAATCATTTGAAACATGGATGTATCATAGGATGCTAAGAAGTTCTTAAATCAAGAAGTGACCAGTGAAGAAGTACTGAAGAAATTGAATAAAGATTTTAAAATGATTAAACATATAGAAGGGTAAAATGTTTTGGTCATCTAAGGAGAAATTAAAAGTAAATATTTTTACAATGGATCATTTACAGTAAAATAAATATGCAAAGAAATACTGAAAGATTAAGGACTCATAAGCTGAAACCTTTTGAGATTGGTTTGCATGCAATGCAACATCATTTAGAGCTGCTGACAGTAGAGTCATGATGATGCCTAGCATCCAACAGGGGAGGTTGTACAAAGGAACAAGAGGAATATCTGAGGGTCAAAACAGTGCTTGTTCCTAAGCAATGGGCTGAGTGGAAAAAGTTTCCTTACTGCAATTTCTCTACTGTGCATAATTAATAACTACATGCTATCAACTAAATTCTAACTTACAGTGACCTTTCCAGGATTTTCTAGGTATGACTAATCAGAAGTAATTTATACTCCTTTGCTCCGGGGGCTTTCTTAGATATTGTAACTTGTTTGAGACTACACAGAGTAGCTCTTCTCTTGGGGGACAAAGTGGGGAATTGAACTCTCAACCTTTGGTTCATCAGTGAGGTACCCAGCTCATTGAGCTATCCGGCCACCTTTTAGAGCAGCTTAGCAGTAACAAGACAAGGTATTAATTTTTCTCTCTTAAATATGGTGTTTCTAGGCTATGAGACAGAAGAAACTGTGAGAAAACAGGGTAGGGTTACAAATGAGAGACCTCAACGCTGGCCTCTCCTTAGTAAAACTGAATGTTTGAGGCAGAATGAATTCACAATAAAAAACTACTGGAAGCATTCTTCCATTCATGTAGAACTTG